ATCCCAGTTTATTTGTCCTTCTTTCCTGCCTCTTTCTGCCTTGTGAGCTTTGTTTTGGGGCAAATGCTTCCCTTTTGATCTTGTGTGATTGATTGTTCTGAGGAGTACATGTCTCTCTATTGTTACTGTTCAATTTCTAGGCCTGTCCAGGTCTGGTGGTGTAGTGCCTATTGCATTTGACTGCTAACCAGAAGGCTGGCAGTTCAAATCCACCAGCCACTCCTCAGAAGGAAGGTTGGGCAATCTACTTCCACAGTGAAACCTCCTTGGAAACCCAAGGAGGGGTCGCTGTAAGTTGGATCCGGCTCCACAGCAGTAAGTTTGGTTTTTGGCTATTGTTTGGCTGGAAGTTGATCTATGGGTGTGGGTTCAGTTCCAGGCTTGAAGTGTGTCTAAGGGCCACAGTCTCATGGGTTCCTTCAGTCTCTATCAGGCCACTAAGTCTGGTCTTTCTATGATTTTGAGTTTTGTTCCACATTTTCTCCTGTTCTATCTGGTACCTTCAAAGTGGTCAGCAATGGTACCTGGTACCATCTAGTTCTGGTCTCAGGGTAGTGAAGGCTGAGGTTCGTGTGGTCCATTAATCCTTTGGACTAATTGTTTCCTTGAGTCTTTGATTTTCTTCATTCTTCATTACTCCAGATAGAAAGAAACCCATTGTGACATCTTAGATAGCTGCTTATAAGCTGCTTTTAAGACTCCAGTCACTACTCACTGAAGTAGAATGTAAAACATTGTCTTTGTGGACTGTTATGCCAATTGGTCTAGATGTCCCCTGAGACTGTAGTCCTAAGCCCTCTTGGTACATTTAAAAGGAAGTATCTAGGATAGATTTCTAATGGATTTGCTGCTCATAAGAAATTCATACTCTATTTTCAAAATAGAAAGCAAATACACCACAAAAATTATTTTAAAAAGATTTCTTCTTCCAAAAAATGCTTAGATACTCATTGATGTTCCAAGACTGCAATTCTGTGATACAGTCTGAAAGCAAAAATCATAAGCAGGTTAAAGATCCCCATTTCTCTCAGACTATTTGTGCTACCTGATTATGGACTCTGATTCACCCTGACTCCTCTTTCTATTTATAGCATTTTGTTTTTCTGTAAATCAAATTATATTGCATTTCTTTGATGTGCTTACCTCTGCACATAAAATTTGCAGATTTTTCTGGTTTTCATAAAATATGTTATAGGTCTTCAGCAAAGAATTAAGTTGTTCTCTAAAACAAATAAATAAATTCAATTATAATCAGTCTTAAACCAGTCTTAGGCTCTTTGATAGTAAAAGGCAATAATAGTGCTTTCAGTTCATAAAGTTGTGAGACAGAAGTGACCCAATAAAATCTTTACTGTTCTGTCATTTTATCTTAATATGCGTCATTGACAACTGAAGTATTCTTAGAAGATCAATCAATGCTAAAGGGAGTAATTCATAAATAAATAACCAGAGCAAATCAAAACAACAATGAGATACCATCTTGCTCCAGTACTAGTATCAAAGTTCAACAAGACAGAAAATAACAAATGCTGGCGAGGTTGTGGACAGATTGGGACTCTCATACACTGCTGGTGGGACTGTAAAATGGTACAACCATTGTGGAAAGCAGTATGGCGATTCCTTCAAAAGTTGGAAATACAAATAC